ACTGCCCTAGGAGGGTTATTTATAAGATAAAAAAATTTAGGGCGGGGGGATACTAAAAAATAGGGAGAAATATTTAGAAAATGAGAGGGAAAAATGCTTCTATATAATTTTTAAATTTTTTTTCAATTTTATATGGAATTTGTTTGGGCCTCAAAATGACATTTTTGGAATTATTTTTAAAAACGTTTTCTCTTAAAAAAATTAGAGGTGGGCGCTTATAGTGCCATCACCCGCCATTTTTTAAAAAATGTGGGGACCACAAAAAAACCAATTATTGCATGCCCCTAAGGGGTGCATCTTTATGCACCTCTCTAGCCCGCGCGTCAACACGAGCTCCCTCCGGTGGCCGCCTAGTTCGACCGCCTGTGCATTTCCAGGTCTATTTTTTCGACTTGGACAGTCTAAATTGAACATTTTTTTGGTTCCCCAAAATCATTTTTCGACATTCTATATCGAAAATTAGCACTTTCAGAGATTAACAGAGCTTCTATAGCTAATTTTGAGCAATTTAAAATATTTTGGAACACAATTTTTTAACATTATTTGCTCCAATCATTGCACCAACTTTAGGACATCCTCAATTTATAATTAAGGGTATTTTACTTGCTTTACGACCCCGAGGGGAGGCCTACATTGACATCTAGGGAGCAGTCACACCTCATAATTTCCCAAATATTATAAATTTTGCAATTTAAACAATTTGGAATATTGTGACATATATTTTCAAACTTCTGAAACTTCAACATCTAAAAATAGAGGACAACTGATATATCATCAAAAGTTTATCTTGATTGAGCACAAATATAAAGGCAAAATCAAGTTGGAACCTTTTGAAATTAAATTCAGAACCATATGAACTCCAATTTTAATAAACTTATAGCCGAAATGAACATCTTGAAAAGATAAACCCAACAACACCAAATTGAAGCAATCCGAGTCCAAATGGGTCTAGTTTGAAGACTCGAAGAACATGTGGAAAGGTTAAACCATAAGGTGGATAACCAAATGGCTTCCAAACATGGCATGCTTATAATCAAATCGAACGGCTCAACGAGACAAATCCAATCCAAAGATTATCAAATTCTGATATCATTATGACATTCAAATGCCTAATAAATAGTCCATGATCAAAGGGATCTATATCGGTCATCCATTCAAATAACTTCCAACTTACCCTTGATCATCTTCCTATTTAGTAGCCATGCCACTTTCAAAAAAACTATAAATAGACCCCTCATTCATCATGGAAAGGGGACCTAAGCATGGAAGAGAAGGAAGAGAGTTCTCTTGCCACCAGATTCCTCCTCAACCATGGCCAGACTTCCACCAAGCCGCCACTTGACGTCGGATTTTTGCCGGGCCGTTGATTGATGACGGACTTTTGCACAGCCTCCGATTGACGCCAGACTTCCACTCCACTGCCCACTGATGTCGGACTTCTGCTTGGCCTCTGAGTGATGCCAGACTTTTGCCCGTTCACCAACTGACGTCGGACTTCCTTCCGACCTCCGTTTGTAACTAGATTTCAACTTGATAATTGATTATTATAATATGATTATCCTTAATTTCAAGGATGAGTCAGTTACTTGCAATCAATTCAAATATTAGTGGAATCATTTCAATTGGGCATAGCCCCGTCCAAATTTTTCATGTAAAAAATTAAGTTTGTGTCGTGATACTAATGTTTCTCAAAATCAATTTGGATTCATGCCGGGTAGGTCGACTATTGAAGGCATACATTTATTAAGAGGTTTGATGGAGAAATATAGAGAAAATAAGGAGGATATACATATGATATTTATTGATTTAGAAAAATCATATGATAAAGTTCCAAGAGAAGTGTTATGGAGAGTTCTTGAAAAGAAATGAGTTAATAATGCTTATATTCAAATCATTAAAGATATGTATGCATGAGTTATTACTTGTGTTCAAACACAAGGTGGTTTGACCAAGTATTTCCCTATTTCGGTTGGGTTACATCAAGGATCAGTCTTAAGCCCATATCTTTTTGCTTTAGTCATGGATGTTCTCACTAAACATTTGCAAGAGGATGTACCTTGGTATATGCTTTTTGCTGATGATATTCTTCTTGTTGATAAGATTAGAGATGGAGTTGAAGGTAAACTTGAATTATGGAGGTCAACCATAGAGTCTAAAGGTTTTTGCTAGAGTAGATCTAAAACAGAATATATAGTGTAATTTTAGTAGTAATAGATCTGGTTAGGGGATTGTGACTTTGGGCGATCAAGTCATTAATAAGAGTACATGCTTTAGATATCTTGGATCTATTATTCAGAGTGATGATGAAATAGATGGGGATATTATCAGCATAATTCAAGTTCGATGGTTGAAGTGAAGGAATGCATCGGGCTTGTTGTGTCATAGAAAAGTACCCCTCAAACTTAAGGGGGAATTCTATAAGAAGGTAGTGAGGCATGCAATGCTTTATGGGGCCGAATGTTGGCCACTAAAAGAGAAGCATAATACCAAGTTAAGTGTGGCAGAGATGAGGATGCTCAGCTGGATGAGTGTCTTTATCCTTAGAGATAGGATACGAAATGAGCATATACGTGAAAAGGTTGGAGTAGCTCCAATAGAAGTTAAGATTAAAGAGAGTCGCCTTAGATGGTTTGGTCACATAAAACGGCAGTCTTCCGATGACCTGGTTAGGAGAGTGGTGATATGAGATTTGACTTATGTTAAGAAAGGTAGAGGCATACCTAAAAAGACTTGGTTATAAAAATATTAGGAAAGATCTATCTTTATTAGATTTAAATGAGAATTTGACTTTTATTAGGACACAATGGAGAAAAAGGATTCATATAGCCGACCCCACGTAGTGGGATAAAGGCTTGATGTTGTTGTTGTGTTGTACATCCATACAATGCTGAGATGAAAAATTTTAACTCTATTGTCACGTATATTCTAGCCTGTAACAAGTCTGATAATATTTTCACATTAAGAGAGAATAAAAAGAAAAAATAACAAATCTAATTTTTTAAATATTAAGTTAGTTGTAGAGTTTTTTTAATAGACACATCACAAAAAAAATTCTTTTGATTAAGGATAAATCTCAATATAATATTTAAATTAAAATCTTATATATTTAAATTCAAAATCTTTCGAATTTAAAATTCAACAAATTTATAGTTGAAATGAATGTTTCAACGAATCCTAATTAGGTTAATTCTTACATTTCTTAAAAAAAAACTAGTTGATTTTTTTTTTTTTTTTCATTCTATTTCGCAATACTTTGGGAACACATCGAAAGAATGAGAACACAAGATTGACTTTTTTATTGAGTATTCTTCAGTACCCTCAAAATGTAATTAATTAATTAGTAAACACTCATTTGAGAGCGCTCATATTCTTAGAATAAAAATAATTTTGACTATAGTTAAACATGTTGAATTTTTTATAAGTCTTTTTTATTCAGATTAATTTTGTATGAATCCTTAGATCAATTTCCTAATGTACCATACAAATTTTTTTATGGATCTTCCTTGTCCTTTTTCAATTTTTCATCACCATCCTCATAATTTTCTCTTCTTTTAAACAAACAAAAGGATGGGGGAGAGATAGGAGAGTTACATGGCAATCATGTAATTGGAATATAGAAAAAAAAAAGAATGCAAATAATGTTTTCTAAGGAGCGATTTGGTTGGCCAAAAAAATGAATGATGTATAAAATGAATGCAGTGTAAAAAGAATATAGTATAAAATGAATATTTTTGAGTAATTTAGATAAGTCTAAAATAAATGTAGGTGAATATTCTTTTTATTTGGTTTGAATGAAAACCAATGCAATGTAAAGTCCAAAGATAGTGGTGATTGGCAACAGTGATTCACTACATGAAAGTTTGCAATTTGTGGTGGATTTACAACGAACTTTGCGGCAGATTATTTTTTGCCGAAAATGATGGAAGCTTTGCAATGGAGATTTTTGATGATTTTTTCGCGGCACAATTTCTGTCTCAAATTTACAATGAAAATTGCCACAACAAGATGAGTTATACTACCATACAACAACATCAAGCCTTTATCCCACCATATGGGGTCAACTACATGAATCATTTTTCTTTATTGTGTCCTATTAAAAGTCAAATTCTTGTTTAAATCTAATAAAGAAAGATCCCTTCTACTACTTTCTACCAAAGTCTATTTATGTCTGCCTCTACATTTCTTAACATAAGTCAAATCTAATACCTCTATTTTTCAAATCGGGTCATCGGAAGGCTGTCATTTTATCTGACCAAATCATCTAAGGCGACTCTCTCTAATCTTATCTTCTATTGAAGCTACTCCAACCTTTAGTACTATAAATAAAAAAGAAAGGTCTTTTAAGCTGTTGTCTCCGCAGCCAAGTTTCATGCTCAAACAAAACATATAGAAATTGATTTTCATTTTATTCGTGACTGCATCAAGAACCATGTTCTACATATTTCTTATGTTCATACACAAGATCATATCGCTAATGTGTTCACCAAATCTTTGTCAATTCCTCATTTTGTTGATTTGTGAAACAAGCTAACTATCTCAGAACCTTCTGTTAGCTTGCAGGGAGGTGATAAACAGGCCGTCTAATACACACCAGCACTTTTAATTCCTTCCAATTGTGCCATGTGCATTCTCTGCTAAAGAACAAACGCCTAATGCCTACTATGGAATGGATCACTGTGGTTCCCAACGGTTTAATCTCAGACGCACATGTCATTATCTTTTCCTTTTCTTCACTTTGTATGTATAGAGAGCTACAGTTTCTTTTATATATATATATATATATATATATATGGAGTTAGAATTTTCAGTTTCAAAACACTTTAACAACACAGAGAGACGTTTAACTACACAGCTTAACGTTATAGAAAAACTATGAATACCAAAATAAAATAAATTAATAATTAAGTTCTTACTGAAACGCTTCAGAAACTTTTTGAAAGCTCATGGTTTAACGCTCTCATATTTCCACTTTGAATCCTTTGCAGTGTATAGGCATCTCGATTAGCAATAGATAGAGATAGTAGATTAATAACTTGCGACCCTGATTCTGTTAGCCACCATTACAAATCAAAACATGAAGCATCCATGCAGCTACTAGCGCAGTAGAAGAATGCAAATCTAAGCTGTGTAATCATACGGAATAAATAAATAAATATTCAAAAAACACAACAGTTATTTGCACCATCAGGGGTTATCCGAAAAGCCAGCTTGGTGATCGGGCTAACAAAAATCACAAGCCCTGTAAAACAGCAGGCTCCCTTCATCAGCCTAACGGTTGCTTGGGTTCTGCAGGGTAAATAAAATGACTAAGAAACAAATAATTAAGCGATCAATAACTGAAAACCCCAACAACAAAATAATCTAGATATATAAAAATAATTTATATTTCGCATTTTGACAGGGTATAAGTGTTGTAAACATTCACCGAAGGGCGATATTTATAAGTTAATCTCATCACTTTATTATGCCTCCTCAGAGTAGCTTTCTTACATTGCCAAGTTGTGGCAAAAATAACCAAAAAAAAAATGGTTACTTTGGGCATCTATACAACAAGAGAATGGCCATATAATCATACTGGAGGTCTATTCATCAAAGGAATAGTGGAGCTAAAACAAATATAAACTCAAAAAACATTATAGTGAATCTGACCTGTACACGAAAAACAGAAAAACAAGGCCTTTCAAACGAGCAAAACCAAATCAGCCGAAGCCAAAACCTTCACTAGCTTCATGGATGGCAAGCATCAAACGTTCTTCTAATTGCTCCTTGGATGAATATTCAGGCAAGTCGAGCTGGTTGAAACTGTGTATTTAAGTGAACATGATAAGTAAAGGGGGTCAAGGTCTAAAAAAGTTGAAAATAAGAGCAACATGATCTTTCAGTATCAAATTTAACCAGGTATGGGCTGATGGAAGTCTCTCAGGAGCGCCATATGCCTTGTGTATCTGAAACCTTTGGGAGCCAGATATCCCCTGCAAGGCCTTAAATCCTTCCAATGGAACCTAAATTGCCAAAAGATAAATGGATTAGAGAGATCATGAACAGTCCCCACCAAAATCACATTATCAATCTTTAAATCAAGCGTTCGATAATAAAGTGATTTCTCCCATTATCCTTTGCCTAAATCACATCTAACTTGACCTTCTTTTTCAAAGAGTAAACATGCTTCTTTGAGCTTTACTTTTTTCCCTACACTTAAATTTTAAAAAAAAAAAAAAAAAAAAAAAAAAAAAACGTTATATATATAATACAGCCGGCTGCAACAAAGTGCTGCAATCAAGAACCGATAATAAGCATATAGTGCCACTGACCATCAATTTCAGGAAGTCCGCTGATCAGAAGTTCAAGCTCTTTATCATTAAATATTGAAATGAGATCCCGGGGAACTAATTCATCGAAACCTTCTAGGAAGGAATTTATTTGAGGGCGAATGGCTGTACTCAACCTGTGTTCTGCCACAAGGTCCACATACTCATGTTTTGTCTCTTCAGTTACCCTGATATTCCTCCCTCCCGGTTTAAGCTCATAATCAGTAACCTTCATCAAAATTAAAGGAAAAACGATACTAAAACATCAAGCCTTTATCCAACTATGTGGGGCATCAAGTCAAAGGAAAACTTGAGAAAATCCAAAGATTTTATCAGGAGAAAAACACAGGTCAAGCAAAACAACCCAAATATGATGAAACAATCACAATATAAATCACAAGACAAAGTACACAAGATTTATATGATTTGATGAGAACTGCCTACATCCATAACCGCAAAGCAATCAAAATATTCTATTAAGTATCAAGAAAAGTAATGATAGAGTACACTTCATTAAAAATTAGAAAAAATGGGCAGCAATACAACTTCATCAATATTAGGATACAGGGAATAAGCAGACCGTCTACTATCCAAGCTGACTCAGTATGCGTAGTTGTAGATAGATTTTCTAAGATGGCCCATTTCCTCCCGTGCTCCAAAACTTTTGATGCTTCTAGAATAGCTAAGCTGTATTTTGATGAAATTGTGAGACTTCACGGCTTACCTAAGACCATTGTATCAGATAGGGATGTGAAATTTACTAGTTATCTTTGAAAGACGTTATGGCACAAAATGGGGACCAAATTACAATTCTCTACTGCTTTTCACCCCAAAACGGATGGTCAAACTGAAGTAGTGAATAGGAGTTTAGGAAATCTTTTAAGGACCTTGGTAGGAGAAAATATACGGGACTAGAAATCTAAACTACCTATAGCTGAATTTGCCTACAACAACTCTATGAACTGATCTACGGGTCTAAGTCCTACTGAAGTCGTGTACAGATACCTACCCAAACAGCCCATTGATTTGATTCCCATGAGTCCTAAGGTTAGAGTTTCTGAGTCTGCATCTGCATTCGCATCTCATCTTCAAGAATTGCACAAAGAAATAAATAAAAGAATTCAACAAAGTAATGCTCACTATAAGATTGATGTTGATCGTAAGAAGAGATTTAAAGAATTTGAAATTGGAGATTTTGTTATGGTACAAATTCGTCCGGAGCGATTTCCCCACGGAGCCGTTAAAAAGTTACATGCTAGAAATGCGGGCCCCTTTAAGATAATCTTGAAAGTAAACAATAATGCTTATGTGTTAGACCTTCCTGAAGGCTTTAATATGAATCCTACGTTTAATCTTGAAGATTTAGTAGCTTTCGAGGGACCTGAGTTTAACCCTAATAATCCACTTCATAATAAGCCCTGTGAGAACCGACCTAGTGAGATCCTCAGCCTACCTCCACTCCCCAATTTACCCCATTCACCCATTGTGGAGAAGGTCGAAGCTATACTTGACGATGAAATCATTTCCACGAAGGAGGGTGGACGCCAAAGGTACTTGGTGCACTGGAAAGGGAAGCCGGTGACAGAGGACACATGGATTGATCGAGAGGAGCTACAGAGTTTGGATCCAGATCTCCTAGAGATGTACGGGAGTTCCAAAGATTTTTACTAGACGGGGTCGAGCTTTCTCCCACCTGGGGAGAATGATGAGGACATCGATCAGAGGTTCAAGCATGTGTATCGCCGGAGACAGCGCAGATCGACGGCTACGATCCAGAGTCTTTACTTTTGATGTATTTTATGTTTTATTTAGTTTGCATTTCCGTTTCCTAGTTTACCCCTATGGGGAGTGTTTTCTTATTGTAGCCCAGAGGGCATTTGAGTACTTTTCTTTTCTTTGTGTTTGAGACCTATATATTTCGGTCTTACGCTTTGTAAAAGGGTAATGAATATTTGAATGAAAATTATGTTTTATTTCTACTTCTTCTTGCATGAGTGCTACAGAAGGGAGAAAGCTCAAGGGGAGCAAATCGTAAGGCCCACCAGTCGTTGGAAGAGTCCGCGGCTCGTGGTTAAGTTTATTTTATCTTCTCGTTTGTGTTTTCCCATCCACTTAACCAAAGCCTTCATCCCGATTGCCCTCAATCCGAGCCCCGAATTCCCCCACCGGCCATCTTGGGATCCAACCCGCCGGCTCCTCTTTAGCCGCCGGCTGATCCCCTCCAACACCCCGTCCCCCATCCTCCACCACCGGCCTCGCCCCTTTTTCCCACAAGTTTCAAATTTTGAACTTCAAATTGGTTGAACCTCAAACTTTCCAAATTTGTCAAAAGTCATATTAGGAAAGTATTTCAAGTCCAATCAATTTTGAATTTCAAAACCAATTGGATTTCATGATAAATTTTCCTAATGCTTATGTGCTAATTTGGAACAACATTGGATCGAGTTGTCCCTACTCTTGCGAGCGTCATCGATCGTCAACTCCCAAACTACGATTGGAGCATCAACAGTCAACCACTCCCGCCATCCTCGCCACCATCAACCTTTCTGTGGTTCAAGACCGTTGGGGTTGCTACCGTCCTCGTGGCATCGTTGGGTATGTTAAAGACCTTCTTCCGCTAAGCCCTACTTCGAGTGTGAGTGAGCAAGGTAACTCGTAGTGAATTTTCAAAATATTAACCGTGGGATTCTATATTATTCCGCATTTGTCTTATTGTGATAATTTCAAGATTTATCGCTAATTGTGTCCAAACATCCAGTTTGTAATTGCTTATCATAATAATTTTGACAATTGAAAACTCTTGAACCTCATCTCACGATACCTTAATCTTAAATTAGCACACTTTGTGATTCTTTATAAATTTCACGTGCAATTCTTGATCGTATCACATCACCTAACCTTATATAGAATTCTCAGTCTTTTTATATTTTTATCTTCAATTTTTTGAGCTATGGTTTTATTTATTTATGTGTTCTTTTGTTTTCTTTATTTATATCTAACACTCAAAACTTAAACTCTAGCTGGGATTTGATTTTTCACTCTCCAGGCATGCACTCCTTGACAATGTTGCCTCTTTTTTAGCCTTAGTGTTTTTTTTTTAAATACATGCATTCCAAATCATAACCTCTTCTTCTCTTTAGTTATCGCTCTTTGATGGATCAATGTACATGTTTAAGAAATATAGGGTAACATGCTAATGATTGTGGAAAGGATATTCTAATTTGCGATTATGGTTTACATTTTATGATTTAGACATCAAGAAATGCATTTATAGAGCCTTTAGAAGCCGCTAGTTTGCTCTTCCCCTAATCTTCTATGCAAGCATGTTAATTTCTAGAGACCTTAGTAATTTCTTATTCATAATTGTCAATGTTTTTATCCATTTTTACTAATTGAAATTTTGTTTTTTTGTAGCTAAATTGGCACAAGTCATAAAAATTTGGATGGAAGATGAAAGGAATAGTGGCCCATCAAGATTGAGTAATCTAAAAAATATGAAACAAATGGAGGTCAAAATATCTCTATGATCATCATTATTCTAAATATCAATTATGATACTATTTACATGCACTCATTCTTGCTGATTCAGTTGTTAAAGTCTTTGATTTGTTATTACTTATGTAGATATTTTTATCATGCACGCCCTTCCATTATGCTTGCAATTGTTGGCTAAAGTGAATTATGACACCCATCCACACACACTGCAAACACATAATAATGTCTTTATCATCCTCATGTGCTTGTACTTCTACATTTAATGCATAACTAACATCAGTAATGTTTTCCTTCCTTTCAAGCAACGAGTCACCAAACTTCCCACAAATGACAAAAGTGACTCAAACAGTATCTCTTGAGCTTAAGCGTCGTGTAAATCTACTGGCACGGCACAAGAAAACTCATATGCTCAAAAAAATATTAATAGGATAGTTGCTACGGCAGAAGTGGAAAAAGGGAGAATTTTAAAATTGAGAATCTAAAAGATAGTACAGAAAATTTAGTATTAAGATGGTATTGGAAACACCATTATAAAACTCCCAGATATCAACAATCTACTCCACTAGTAATATTTGCAAGGACATTAAGAAACGCCTAAAATTGGTCTAATCAAAGAAAAAACATAAGTTTTTTTATTATGAGAGGGTAAATATTGTTAGTACTGACAAAATACAGGAAGCCTCCATTTGCATATATAGTTCCTACGATCATATCCAGATGAGAATGGTATCGACTAAATTAATCATCAATGTTGAGAGTTGTCCTTTCAATAGTAGATCAACCTTTCTTCAATGCGTACATAAGAGACTAAAATCCAAACTATCAAAAAGTTTCACGAAAGAATAAGTGCATAAAATTTTGTAAAAAAGAGAAGTTGAAAAATATTTATAAAATGTTGTACAGTTGCCCTCACTACTGATTGTTGGGCGTCTAATCTATATATTTGTCTCGCCGCCAATTTTATAGATTCAGACTTTTTTTCATCTAAATTTGGAAGGAAGTTTATCTTCAATATCACCTACCAAGATTTTGCACATAATAATTAAATAACGGATCACCAGTAAATACAAGTGAATTCATCAATTTATTATTAAATTTTAAATAAATATATAATACATCAAACCTCATTTTTCTCATATAGTATAAGTTTTTCTTCATCAGCATCCATGCTGAATGTCAAGTCTGGAAGATCACTAATATCATTCTGCATGTCATGAAAAGAAAATCAAAATGAGGTATATTACATATTTTAGCATCCACTTAAAATAAAATAAAACTATCAAAATATTCACAAACCTCAAGCATCCACTTCAAGTTCTTATAGTAGTCAGGGTCAACTGCCTCAATGTCATGATAAGATACCTTCACGCCTAGTATGTGCTTATAAAAGGAGCGAGTAAAATACACATCCAAAAGTTGCCCATCAAAAAGTGCTTTTGCAACCTACACATATAATTCAAATAGAGAAATTCAAGAAGACATAGCATTATGAGCGCGATAAAATGAATCTAGAATTATGAAATTGTGTTACCAGTCTGCCAACAAACTTAAAATAAGAAAGATGCTCTGTTTGATATACAGAGTTTGGGTTAGGTTGAAAAGTTGCATTGTTCCCAACCGTTGTAAAAAGCAATGCTCCCTTATCAAATATCACTCTTGATAGAAGCTGGTACCACTCCCTAGTCAGTCCACCAGCATCTATACCCTCTTCTCCTTGAAAATGAACCATTAACCTACCTTTCAAGTCCTGAGCCGAACGCAATCGCAGCTGATTATAGGAATCTTCCAAGACATAAGCACGCCGAACGCTTACTCTTAGTGGAGCAGAAGAGTGTTGGTCATGCTGCTGCCTAATCCGTGAGCGAAAATAAGCTCTCTTATTATCAAAATCAATAAGCCTTGGAACTTTCAACATCATAGAAAATGATTTCTCAAGCAGGCGTGGATTCTGCCTAATATAAACATTAAGAAGGCGCCGATGCTTTTCAACCATCCTTGCAAATGACAGAGTGCCAGTTCCACTACTCTTAACAGATGGTGATTGTAAGACCCCAGTAAATTCTTTTTCCCCAGCAGTTGTACAGTCATCAGCCAACATGATTTGGTATATCTGAAGCCTTTCACATATAATGAAAAAAGCTTCTATAAATGACAACAACTGCTGAGTGCCAGGAGGAAGAGGAGACACTGTAGAACGACCTCCTGAAAGGTTTGAAGCATCTGGAATTGATAGAGAAGAAGAAAACGTATAATTCTGCCCCAACCTTGCCTCAGTTGCTGTAATGCAATCACTTAACTCCTGCCAAAGAGGCTCAAGTGCTGAATTTAAATTGATCAAGATAGATGGTTCATCATGCCCATGTCCAAACTCTTCAGACTTAGCTCCATCAACTATAATAAGCGTACTAAGGGTCTGCAGTACACGCAAAATTGCAGCTCCAGCCATAGAACCTGCACCTAAGGCCAGCATATGTGTGCTCCTCAATGTCGCAAGCACACCAACAGATGAAACACTCAAGTTATGGGCTAATCCTGCTAACTCAACTGCAAAGAACTTCCGATGAGGAGCAACAACAAAGGCCAATTTTTCCATAACATCCGCTACGAGTGAATAAACTTTTTCAGAAAGCCTGATCAGTTTTACCATAAATCAGAATGCTTTTAAGAGAGAAAATCAGAATGCTTTTAAGAGAACCTTAAGAATCCAACTTGCTTATCCAGAACAAGTTAAAAAAATGTAAAAACCAGAAAAGATGAATTACTTAGTAATGATTCCAAATTTCCAATAACCTTACCAGTTGGAAATGAAAAAATGTAGCATACATGCCATAGCAGGAGATACAGCATGAAAAAATTCATAGTATACAAGAAATGAACAGATCCAGCTAAGGAGATCGAAAACATACATATATAGTTAAATTCAGAGAATTGGAGAGGAAAATGCTTACTTTTATTGCACAAAACTATCCCTACTAATAGATCTATAAAAGATATCTTAATAAAGAAACAAATAATTACAAAATCACGCATAATTGCTCTAATATAATCCTTCCTAAATCAGCCAACTAAATAAGGAAGGAGATCGGCGTGTCCAGGTGAGCCTTCCATGGATTCCCATCCTAGCCGTGGGATCGAAATGCCAAGAGACTGTTGGGATTTAACAGTTGAGCCTCCCACGGATTCCCATCCTAGCCGTAGGATCAAAATGGCAAGGGACGGCTAGGATTGAATACTCCCCCTCAAGCTAAGAAATACGGATCTGTCATTCCCAGCTTCGTAATCAGTACCAGAAAGATATTAAGTCCCTTGGTAAGAATATCTGCAAGCTGATCTTTTGATGAGTTATGATCGATACATATAAAACTATAGTATAATTTCTCCTTTATGAAATGTCTGTCCACTTCTATGTGCTTGGTCCTATCATGTTGAATCGGATTATGAGCTATACTGATTGTTGATTTTTTGTCACAGTGTAGCTTCATAGGTCATTCTCACTTAATCCTCACGTCTTCTAGAATTATCTTAATCCATAGTAGCTCACATATTCTCAAGGTCATAGCTCTGTATTCTACTTCTTCACTAGACCTTGCCACCACATTTTATTTATTGCTCCTCCATGTAACAATGTTTCCTCCAATGAATGTGTATTATCCTGATGTAAATCGCCTATCTACCGATAATACTACATAATTTGCATCAGTATATGCTTCTGGGATTATTCCACAGTCTCTTCTGAAAAGAATTCCTTTACCTGAGTTCCCCTTAAGGTAGTGTAGTATTCTATCTACAGCTTGCATGTGAGTCTGCTTTGGATTTGGCATGAACTGGCTAACCATGCTTACTGCAAATGCTATATATGGTCTGGTGTGAGAAAGGTGGATTAATTTTCCCACAAGCCTCTTGTAAGATCCTTTATCTACAATTGGATCTTCTTTAGCTTCCCCCAATTTGAAATTTGGTTCTACCGGTGTTGATACGGGTTTACAATTTATTTTTCCTATTTCTTTAAGAAGATCGTTAATGTATTTTTGTTGTGAAATGAGGATTGCTTTGCAGGAGTGAGACTCTTGAATTCCAAGAAAATATTTTAATCTACCAAGATGTTTGTTCTCAAATTTATTGGCAAGATATTTCTTTAAAATCGCTTTCTCATCTTCATCATTCTCAATCAAGATCATATCATCCAGATAAACTAAAAGAATTGTGACTTCCCCTGAAGTGCTTGAAGAGTATGTATAGCCTCCCTGGCTCTGCCGATAACCATTAAGTAGCATAACTTTTGATAATCTTCCAAACCAAGGTCGAGGTGACTACTTAGCCCATATAGAGCCTTTTTATCCTACACACTTTGTTACCCATAAATTTCTCCTTGAATCCTAGTAGAATATCCATAAATATTTCTTCCTCTAAGTCTTCGAGTAGGAATGCATTTTTGACATCTAGATGTACCAGAAGCCAGTTTTAATTAGCTGCTAGTGAGAGCAGGATCCTTACGGTGCTCATCTTGGCAACCGGTGCAAAAGTTTTCTAGTAGTCAATGTCGTATGTCTGAGTGTTATCCTTTCACACCGAGTATTGCCTTATACCTTTCCAATATACCATCAACTTTGTATTTCACAAAGAACACCCATTTGCAGCTAACTGATTTTTTCCTATTGGTAGGTCGGTGATCTCCCATGTATTGTTCTTTTCCAGGGTTTACTTTCATCTTTCATGACACTTTTTCAATTTTCATTAGAAAAGACCTCATAAATATTATTATGAATATGAATATCATTTAGTCTAACCATAAAATTTTTGTGTGAATGTGAGATGTTATGGAAGAATACAAAGTTGGTTATACGGTACGAGTTTTTTTTTTTTTTTTTGTGAACTTGTGTTTGCCTCAATTTAAGGAGATAGTTAAGATTTTTGGATCTTTTTGGGAGCATAATTTGAATTTGTACGCTTGGAATACACTTGCCCAAACCTCCTGTTATTCATAATAACTTTGTCCTCAGCATTCCTAGCTTTGATTTTAGATTTTTGTGGATTGATTTGAGTTGGAACTAGAAGGTCAAGAGGGGCAAGCTCACTTTCCTCATCTTTCTCAATTTTAGTGTTCCCCTGAAGATGAGGTTTGTGAAGTAGAGTTTTTGTTCATCAAAGATAACATCAATATATACAAAAATTTTCTTGGTGGAGGGATGATAAAACTTATAATCTTTTTGAGTGGATGAATATTCAACAAAGATACATTTGAGTGCTCTTGGATCTTATTTTTCTCTATTTTGGCTATGAATGTGAACATATAGGTAGTGCACCCAAAGATTTAGGGATTAAGGTTATTATGGGTTCAAAATTCAGGATAAAAAGATGATAGAATATCTATTGGTGTTTTTAATCCCATGGTTTTTGAAGGTAGTCAATTTATGAGATATGTGACAGTCAGAAGGGCTTCCCCCCAGTAGGATTTGGACACATTATGGTGGAATAAATGTGCACGGATGGAGGCTAGAAGGTGACCATTTTTTTTTTTACACCCTGTTTTGTTGTCGGGTGTGAATGCAAGAAGTCTCGTGAATGATACTTTCTTTTTGAAATGAGGATAGAGTTTGGTTAAAGTAACATTTAGCATTTCCTTCCATGACGCTCTTTGGTTGACACCATTGCTGAACCTCAACTACCTTTGACTCTAGCATTACTCCTCATCGGCTTTCCTGAGCACAAATGAGAGAAATGGTCTCGTTTAATAAGGGGATCTCCTCGTTTCCAAGGATCTGAACTCAAACCTGATCAAACTCCACATTTAATCCTACAAGAAAGTCATATACTTTATCTTTCTCAAAATAAATTTTCAGGATAGCAGCATTTTTTGGACACTTCGACTCTATGCATATGCAGTGATCAAGTTCTTGCCACAAGTTTTTAAGGAGAGTGGCATATTTTGTTAAAGTTTTGTTTGTTTTTAGCTTTCCACCTTGACCTTAATTTTAAAGATTTAGGCATCCAGAGCCTTTGAGAAGGCTTTGTTGGAGAATGTTTATCATTCTCAACGGACTACATATTGTGTGATCGAGTACGAATAAAAAAATGATATATAGCCTTGGAGGATAAAAAATATCATTTCCTAATAGACTCGATAACAAAATTTATAATTTTAACAGAGATTACTCCATTCAATATTTGGTTGAATGGGATTTAATTTATTCTGGGGTACAAAAGCCCATTGGAACAAGCCCCTATAGTTAATTATATCTCAAGTTTTGATACTTGAGAATAGTTTTGATTAAACTAGTGATTCTTTCTTTTAAAGATCATTCAAATATTGGCTAAAGTTTTGATTTTAAAACACATAAAATTCTTGTTTAAAGAGTTTTGATCTTTAGGAATTTCAAATGATAAAGGGATCAACTAGAAATTAAATTTCATGGAATGAGAGAGTTAAAAGAGTGAACTAGCATCACTTGATTCTGAGAAATCTCAAAGGTGCTCGAATTATTCTATGTTGGGCTTTATATTTTAGAATCCAATTTTGTTTAAGTTGACAATTTTGATTAGAAGGTCGGGCTTACATTTCAATAACACAAGATGGAGGAAATATCTGAAATGTGAGAACTTATATAGTAATTGAAATCAACAATTGCGTCAAATTAATATGAGGACTACTAAGGTGTAGTGCCTCGAATCTAAATCTAACGAAATGCAAGGGACTTACAACATATATCTCACATAAGATATAGTCAGCCCAACCTTTGAATTTATTGTCCTGCCTGAAAAGGGCTACCAGCTAAACCCACCTAATCACTTTTAATACATGAAGTTTGTTCTCAATGCATATGAAAAGTAGAGATGCTACTTTTTATTTAGAAGAAAGGGCTAATAACTTGGCTTTGAGACAAAAAAATCTAACCATGAAGGGTATGCACAATGCTGACTCAAAGAAAATAAATTTTTGCTACATAAACTTTAAGTGATGGCTTTCTATATATGACACACTGTGTTATGCATGATCAATTTAAATTTTTAAAACTTGACGACTTGAAGGGAACTATGTAATTTTCTTTTTATTTGAAAATCATGAAGCCTACATTGATTTTAATTGCTTAGTATTTTAACAAGTATATATCTTAATTTTGTTCTATGAAGCTACCGCATTCACATGTCCAGACCATACCCAAGCAAAATAAGAGAATAAACCTAAGAAAAATATGAATTTTCTAATGCGCTATCAGGTAAACAGATTAAAACATGCTTGAATAAACAAATCAAACAAAATGGAAGTAAATTATAGAGTCAAAAGTTATTACAACTAGATTTGGCAGATGAGTTGCTTGTTATTATATAACTCAATTAAATATTTATTATGGACTCTACTTGTGGGGGATCTTCAAATTTTGACTTCTAGATAGATCTGAGCTTCACATTTATCAGGTACATCCTCTTAATCTATCTCCTTTAAAAAAATCCCACAAATTAAAATACAACCTAAGTCTAATCAAATACATTTAAAAGAAAACCTTTCTAGAAACAATAAAGAGACATAAATACTCAAAACTTGACAAAATATAACTAACAAAACATAACTTTAATATTATAAAATGACTTACAAACAAGGACTCTTACAAACTTTGACTTCAAAACAAAACAT